GCACCTGTGCGGAGCCGGGGCGGGTCGCTAGTATGTATATAAAATATAATTTTCATCATACTTGGGCCATCTGGAGTAGTATTGACAGATACCGCTAGTTCCAGTAGTTTTTACTGTCGATAAATCTTGAAGAAAATGAGGCCAGATGTAAGGTTGGTAGTCCTATAAAAAGTAATGTTTTAAAAGCTTCTCTTTATTAGTACTTACCAAATTTTTATAAAGATATGAAAAAATATTAATTTTTTTTCAATGTTCGAAATGGAAAATATTGAAAAACTTAAGTACCACCGATTTTTACTGGTCACAACATATCTGTATCTGTAGAGTAGGAATACACACTTTGTTTGGCAACCTTGAGGTGTCCCACGGTGGCCTCCGCGAAAATTTTGAAAGGTACAGCGACATTACTGTTGCGCGGCTTCTTCAACCTTCTTGGGGTTCCCTCCGTGGAGGTGCACATGAACTGATTGGTTGAGGATCAGATAGTGTATCTTTTATTTTTACCAACATTGTACGGTCTGAAAGAAAATGTTTGAGCCATTGCAAAAATACACCGCTAAATCCCAGATTAAAAAGTTTGGTTTCAATAAAGTCATAAGATAGACAGTCAAATACACGTGAGAGGTCAAAAAATATTCCTGCCACGTGCATACCATTGTCTAAGGAGTTATAGATGATTTCAGCAAAACTACACGCAGCTGACTGTGTGGACTTGCCTTTACGAAAACCGTGCTGGCAGTCAGTAAGAATGAAGACAGATGCCTTCGCAAGTCCAATAGTCAGAATATTTGGATAGAATGGAAAGCAAGTTTCTTAAAATTTTTGATGAGAATACGACGACGGAATTGGAAAAAGCCCTATTTTACAAATACACTAATGGTGGAATACTCGAGTATTATTATGAAAAACAAAGATTGCTACATTGGGCGAATGAGAATTTGTGTGAAAAGTCGCATATTGCTTTAATTATTTTGAGTTTACCGTATCATATTCAAAATCAATTGAGAAGTAAAATCATAAATGATAATGAAGATTGGATTCATGTGTTGAAAAATTTTAATTTTGATACAAGGAATTACAAAAATAAACCTGAAGCAAGAGAAATGCAGAACGAAATAAATGAGAAGCAACACCAAGAAAAAACAGGAAATGAAAGTTCTAAGAATTCAAAAAATTAATATAAAGGAAATGTAGTGGAATGACCATCTGGTGATATTGATTATATCCTCTATATAGGGTGTTTCGAGATATCCTAGATGGTTGTTGATAAAGCAGAGGAGAGTAGAATACCTGTATACAAAAAGTGGGAAATATAGTAACTGGAAAATCATTTCCATTTTTTTTTAGATATGATAATTGTGTTCGATTATGTTAACCAATTTTTACTGCTAGAAAAGCATCTTTTATTGTGTGGCTCTAACATTGAACACCAAAGAGTAACTAAGACTGAAAAGAGCATAAAAGAGGTAGTTGGGGACAGCATTTAAACCTAATATTTCATGAATTTTTTCAATGGTAAAACCATTTTGGCGAGTTGGAAACACAATATGTATATCTAGATGAGTTAACTATATCAGTTCAGAGTCTAGCTATATGCTTAGAAATATTAATAACATATTTTCATTTTCATTATTTACTACAGACTAGAGTTTTTGATTAAGAAATACTTCGTTCGTAGTAAATTCATTTCAGCTTGTTTCACCATAACATTATAAGCAATATGGCGGCACACGCCTTTTTTAATTTCTATTGTTTATGTGGTATCATCAGCAAATATGCACAAGATTGCAATAACAGAAGAGAGTTTACAAATAATAATTTTAATTAATGTTTCTACATACCCCCTTATCATAGCAAAACTATCATCACTGCTGAAGAAAGAAGCTCCTGGTACAACTGTCACCGTCTCTTTTCCAGCGTTGATTAAATCAGGATCTACACAGTTGGGATGTGGAAACGGACCAAGACCCAATATGCCATTTTCTGACTGCAAGAAAACNAGGAGGATGAGACTGTCAGGCATGTCCTATGCGAGTGCCCGGAGTTATCGTCAATAAGAGAGTGTGTGTTCGGCAAATCTTGGCCTACACCTGCCAATATAAAGGAGATGTCTCCCAGTGACTTGTCCACCTTCCTGGAAAGGACAGGATGGACGACGACCTAGGAGGACAACTCCTCGGGAGGATGTACAATGGGTCACATGTGGCCTAAGTGTTGTCGGCTTACACTCACCCTCCCTACTCTACAGATATAGAGATGCCTCTCACCAACAAATTAAACATGATAAACAGCTGAAACTGTGAACATATGTTCGAGACGAGTGTGCCAACAAAATAATAAAAAAATCTCTAATCAAATGTAGCTCTCGAAATTCCCCAGAAGTTATTTCACATAGCGTTCTTTCTCCCTGTAAAAGAGTTTTCAGTGTAATCCGGGGTGTATCAAATTGAAACATGGAACAACAAGCCGTTGATGCTTGCCCCGTATTTCTTACAGAACTCTTTAAAACAAATCAAAGCATTTCTGCATATGTTGTTAGAAACCTCTAGGGTGTTAAAGACATCATCTTAGTAGGCTACCAGAAGTCAGATCTGTATAATCCAGGACATTTACACATACTCTCTGTTTCCTATTTGATAAATAATTACTTCACCATTCGTAAACCACCTCAATCGTATACCTTCTCAGCTCCTGAAGCAAAATATTTCTATCAATCGTTTCAAAGGTCTTTTGAAATATATTTACCTTTTTCTGTTTCATTAGTAAATTTAGTTAGTGATAACTGTAGTGATGTTTCACAAGAATGTTTCTTTCGAAAACCAGACGTAACGTAATTTGATTTTTGTCAATAAACTCTCTAATAATTGATTATATACTTCTATTTCTAAAACCTTCTCTAATGGCGGTAAGGTATTATTAGGTCTAAATTCACTTACTTTTATAGTCTAAAGAAATGGACTTTAAACGTTCAAGCCAGTCTCGAATACACCTACACAGTAGGTTGAATGCATTGACGCCTATCAGAAAACAACTATTCCCCTGGCTAATACCACGAAGGGCGTTGGATTATATCCGACAGTCGTCAGTGCAGGAATCTTCACAGAAAATTTCCTGCATATGCAATTGGCAATACAACTGTAAGAGTCGACCTTCAATTTTGGAACGGGCACACTTGCAGACCGGTTTCGGGCTCATTAGCCACTCATCAGTGCAAGATAGTGGCCATCATCGACATAAAGTCAATGATATTCCATGGAAAGTCATCTTGAATTTAGACAGGTTGGAGCCTGGCTCCCTTACCCTTTGGACTGATGTGATATTCCATAATTGAAAATCGGAATTTTCATTCCCCTTCCTAAGTTGGAGCGAAACAACCAAATGTCGCTCCATCTAGTGGACGAGGTACTAACCAACTGCATATCCGTAATTTGGCCGATTCCTCTGAATAAGGAAGAAAAACTTTCTGATTAGTCAGTGGGATCTGCTTGAAGACTGACAGTAAACAAATCTAAAGAAATGAACTTTAAACGTTCAACTTAGGAAGGGGAATGAAAATAATTTCATTCTTGCACTGATGAGTGGCTAATGAGCCCGAAACCGGTCTGCACTGACGCCTGTCGGATATAATCCAACGCCCTTCGAGGTATTAGCCAGGGGAGTAGTTGTTTTCTGATCCGTCAGTCCATTCAACCTACTGTGTAGGTATATTCGACACTGGCTTGAACGTTTAAAGTGCATTTCTTTAGATTTGTTTACTACCAGTCATCAAGCAGAGCCCACTGACTAATAAGAACAAAAATACTTTTAGTAAATACAGAACCCAGACGATAGTTGTGAATGGTGTGAAGTCAGATTCAAGAGTAATAAATTCAGGGGTTCCACAGGGTTCAATCCTGGGACCACTATTGTTTGAAGCTTTTCTGAGTGACATTGAAGACACCTGTAAATTCGCAAATCAAATGATATTATATGCCGATGACACTAATATGCTGATGTCACACAATAACATTGATCAATTAACAAATTTAAGTAACAAGGCATCTAATGAAATAGAAAGGTATAGCTTTGAGAATGGCCTCAGCCTGAATAAAAAAAAACAGTTATGTCCGGTTCTTGCCAAAAAACATGAATCCAAATTATGACCTATACTTAACCTTATCTGGTAAATCTATACAATCCATGGAAACCATCAAGTTCTTAAGTGTTACTTTGGATAGTAAGCTAACATGGGAAGTCCAGCTGTTTCAAATATTTGTTTAACATTTCAGAATTCAAGGTTTCATGGGTACATTTATTATTTAATGACCCAATTATGTCACTCAAATCGCTTAAAGTAATCAATCTGAAGGTGCTAAAGGGCAAATATAAATTATTATCCAAATTGAACCATGGTTCAGAATTCCCAATACCCTGGACTATATGTTGGATGCTGTTTACAAAGTATAGGTTGAAATTTCGGCCATGTCCAGTTCACTTTTTTTAGTACTTACTACCCCTTCTTCTTCAAATTGGATTAGGTTTGGAAATGTATGATTATTACTATTAACAAGGGATTTTGAAGCTTTTCATATCAAATATAGCATTCGTAAACTGTAATCTATATTAAAAAAAAAATCTGTTTTTCCGTTAATCAGCTGTCGCCCCCATACGAACAACAACTCTCAGAAGTTGAGAAACTTGTGCGAGCTAAGGACTAACGAGGTCTTACCTTTTAACGTGTGATTTCTAACACGGTTGCAGAATCATCCCAGCTTCAACCAGATAAATTATCTCGAAAAAAATATCTGGTCGAGGCGGGAATCACACCCACGACCTTCCGATCGTGAGTCGGGCGCACTACCACCGCGGCCAATTCCACAATGTAATGTAATGTTTCGTTAGAATCAAAACAGTCATGTAAATAACATTTTATAATGAAGAATCGAGAAAGAAAATGTAGTGGACAGTAATAATATAGAACCTTCCATGCTCATTGATTGGGGGTAATCATAAGAACAAAAAACCTTCATTTTAGATATAATCAAATTATTTACATGTTATTATATCAGTAGATATTACTCAAAAAATATCAATGAAAACAATAAAAGTGATAAAAAATTAAAAATGATCAGTTAGTCTTAGCACATAAAAAATCAATTAACCTCAATTTGGCCCATTGGTTTCAGATCTTCAGCAACTTGGAAGTTGCATCCAGTGGATACCAAAATATCCTCGACTCCTACCCCTTCTGCAATTTCGGTCAGAGTTAGCCCATTCTCTGGATGAACATCAAAAACAGCTTTCTCTGTGATGATCATGTTGACGCACTGCTTTCCAGTTAAAGGCAGACCACAACTCTCTAAAATTTTATGACTGCCATCTTTTGCAGTATGTTCCATGCAAACAACTACTTTAGTTCCCGGTGCTGCTACGAGATCCATAGCTCCTCCCATACCTTTCACAAGTTTTCCCTGGAACAAAAAATGTTGTGAACTGAAAATTTGAAGTGAAAGAACAAGCTTGACTTCAACAAATCGCCGTCGACTCCCCTCGTTTATCGATAAACGATTTGTAGATTTCTATCAGTTATTATTTTAATTATCAATATTTATTTAAGTTACCCTAATTGAAATTGCAAAATAATGAAATATAATCATCCATGAGTCATGTGATGACCCATAAAACAAGTAATAGTAATCTTTATTATGAAGACAGTATGAAGACAGGTGTATCGCAAGTCCTATAGTCAGAATATTTGGATAGAATGGAAAACAAGTTTCTTAAAAATATTTGATGAGAATACGACGACGGAATTGGAAAAAGCCATATTTTACAAATACACTAATGGTGGAATACTCGAATATTATTATGAAAAACAAAGATTGCTACATTCGGCGGATGAGAATTTGTGTGAAAAGTCGAATATTGCTTTAATTATTTTGAGTTTACCGTATCATATTCAAAATCAATTGAGAAGTAAAATCATAAATGATAATGAAGATTTGATTTATGTGTTGAAAAATTTTAATTTTGATACAAGGAATTACAAAAATAAACCTGAAGCAAGAGAAATGCAGAACGAAATAAATGAGAAGCAACACCAAGAAAAAACAGGAAATGAAAGTTCTAAGAATTCAAAAAATTAATATAAAGGAAATGTAGTGGAATGACCATCTGGTGATATTGATTATATCCTCTATATAGGGTGTTTCGAGATATCCTAGATGGTTGTTGATAAAGCAGAGGAGAGTAGAATACCTGTATACAAAAAGTGGGAAATATAGTAACTGGAAAATCATTTCAATATTTCTTTAGATATTGTAATTGTGTTCGATCATGTTAACCAATTTTTACTGCTAGAAAAGCATCTTTTATTGCGTGACTCTAACATTGAACACCAAAGAGTAACTAAGACTGAAAAAAGCATAAAAGAGGTAGTTGGGGACAGCATTTAAACCTAATATTTCATGAATTTTTTCAATGGTAAAACCATTTTGGCGAGTTGGAAACACAATATGTATATCTAGATGAGTTAACTATATCAGTTCAGAGTCTAGCTATATGCTTAGAAATATTAATAACATATTTTCATTTTCATTATTTACTACAGACTAGAGTTTTTGATTAAGAAATACTTCGTTCGTAGTAAATTCATTTCAGCTTGTTTCACCATAACATTATAAGCAATATGGCGGCACACGCCTTTTTTAATTTCTATTGTTTATGTGGTATCATCAGCAAATATGCACAAGATTGCAATAACAGAAGAGAGTTTACAAATAATAATTTTAATTAATGTTTCTACATACCCCCTTATCATAGCAAAACTATCATCACTGCTGAAGAAAGAAGCTCCTGGTACAACTGTCACCGTCTCTTTTCCAGCGTTGATTAAATCAGGATCTACACAGTTGGGATGTGGAAATGGACCAAGACCCAATATGCCATTTTCTGACTGCAAGAAAACTTCCATATTTTCTGGAATATAATTAGATGCCAACATTGGCATTCCGATTCCCAAATTAGCTAAACCAAAGTCAAGGAATAAATAACTGTTTGAATAATGAAAAAAAAATTGAAAATACTGACAAAATTATGAAACCTACTTTCTTTCAACTGAGAGAGTTACTTGTTATTGAAAACATTCATTTATATCACCTGTACGAGGGTAGTCTGAAAAGTTTCCGAACTCAACATAACGATGGCAGCTCTCGTGAATGAACGCTAGTGTATTTCGTTATTCTTCTGTTGACAGTTACTAACCAAAGTTTCAACCATTTTGGACGCGCAGTTGTTATGTAACAGTCGTTTGAGTGAGTTGATCAAAGTGTTTTTATGAAAATGGACAAAACCGAGTATCGAGCTGTCACTGATTTGTTTTTGAAAGGCACCATCTATTGGGTAGCTGAATTTAAACGTGGCCTTAAGAGCTTACAAAACGTCGAGATGTTCAAAAACTGCAACTACCGACGAAACCATCGCCAAAGTTCACCAAATGGTGCTGCTAGACGACCGCCGAATTAAAGTGAGAGAGACAGCACAGGTCATTAACATGTCAATAGGGCGTGTTCATCACATATTAAATGAACATTACGGAATGAGAAAGCTACCCGCCCGTTGGGGGCCGAGTTAGCTTACGTTAGACAAAAAACGTGTTGGAATGAACATTTCCAACGCTTTGTTGGAAGCTCCGTCACGCTGGAACCCGCTTTGAAAAAAATCTACATTTTTTTAGCCTACTTTTCCTACAAACGATACTAATAATTGTAGTAATGTTCATTTTTTTTGTAGTCTTATGGGTTACTGAGAAAGCACTATTGATATTATTCTAACTATGAAGGACGAGTAATAATGTGCCAAAAAGTTCTGAAATGGGTTCTAAATGGATTGTAGTTTATTGAAGTAACAACAGAATATTACAATATTTTATATTCTTTTGAAGTATAGCAAAAAATCTACGATAACAAGACTTCAAATCATAAAATAACAATTGTCCTCAAACTACAAACGATGGGGTTGATTGTAGCTGAAATTAGATGTTTGTAGTTACGATTANTGATCACATCTCAGCTAAATTTGATGATATAGAATAAAGAAAATACTTTTGTCTAGTTTCTACTGTGTTTATTTATTCGTTACTAGTAGAAACTAGGCAAAAGTATTTTCTTTATTCTATATTCAACATGAATTTCTACAAAATAAATAAGTCATCAATCGAACGAGTATTGTATTGTGATTTGACTTATATCCCTGTTCTGTAGTTGGGTGTAACCTGTGTAGAACAGTGTATAAATAAATAAATAAATGACCATGCATCAGCCTCACCCACCAGATCTAGCCCCAAACGAATTATTTTCGTTGGTTCACCTGAAAATTGCGCTGGGAAGACAGAAATTTTAGTCAAATGAACAGGAAATCACCTTCGTGAACAATTATTTTGCGGAGAAAAATGACGAGTACTATTTGGATGGGTTACAGAGATGGGAGCAACGCTGGGAGAAGTGTGTGGCCGTAAGGCCACAAACTTTTTAGACGACCCTCGTATAAGTTAATAAAATCAAAATTTTGAAGTTATACTTGAAGGATACCATACATTCCGTCTTTAAATTCTAGAGCTGCCCTTCTGATTATTCTTTCCCTGCGTTCAGCTGCTGGATTTTTCTTGACCATGGAGTCTTTGCTGTCAGACAATTTTTGAACAGTTACCTTTTCTATCCTCTTTTCATACTTTTCACCCTTCACAATTCTATCAACAAAAATCCCAGGCACATGAACCTCATCTGGTTCGATATCTCCCAATTTTACTATTTCTTCTACTTCCACGATTGTTGTCTTTGCCGCCTTAGCCATAGTTGGATTGAAATTCCTTGCTGATTTCCTGTTGAATATATATCCAAGTGAAAAAAAGTCAACTGATTTACTATATGTAACACATAGATGGCGCTAGCCTTATTTCATACACCACTTTTTCAGTTATATATTTATAGTAGTTATTTTCAAAAAATGGATCAAAAACGATTTCATGTTATTACTTTACACTGCTTCTTGATAGGAAAAAATACCGTCCAAGTGAAGCAATGGCTTGAAAAGTGTTATATCAACTCCGCTCCATCCGGTAAGAAATTCCGCTCGAATAAAGATATTATTGCTGAAACTGAGGCCTATTTTGAGGCAAAAGATAAATCGTTCCACAGAAGTGTTATTAAAATGTTAGAGCGGCACTGGAATTATTGTGTGGCTCTTTATGGAGATTAAGTTGATAAACAAAGCCAATTTTGAACAAAAAAAAACAAGTTTTTCTTCTCAGGATTTCCAGCCCGTGTTGACTCACAAATATTTCATTGGAAGGTAGAAATGGAAAAACTACTATGTACAACAATCTTCTTGAAGTGCGTTTCATCAACTAAATTGGCGTCATCAAAGATGAACTAAACTAAAACACGAGTCGAGAAGAGTAGCGCAGTTCTGGTGTGTGGGAGAAACTATTTCGAAATGATCATCAATGAAAACTTTAATGAAAGCTTCACAGTAATAAATGACACATAAAATATTCAAAACTGTATATTTATACCAAAGAAAGTACAATGACAATAAATACAAACACTGATTTAGCTTGAAATATGTTATGTTAGGTTAGGTGCAAAATCATTGGATCTATTTGACCCTCCACGGCAACCCGCAGTGCATTTATTGTGGCTCACACCTATTCATACTCGACCCAATAAACCCAGCTTCTTTACAAAGCCAATTAGTTTTTATGGTGAGTGGTCTTTCAGTTCAGATGGTAAGAGTACGGCTCTGCCGAACTCTAAAAACCTGATTGGTCCCCAGCGGGACAGGCACAAAGTATGTACTTTGATATCTTCCGACAGTACGAGTTCCTGCATATGATGATTCAAATGACAGTGATCTGTAAGAAGGCCCGTTAGACATCGTAGTTCATCCCTACTGTAGTCCAACAACTGTTTGGTATCAAGTCACCTCTTTTCGAAACGTCCTGTTCAACTTCAGGGTGGTACTTGATAAAGTTGTTTCTTGTATAGCGTCTGCCGTCTCTGCCTTAACCTATTCTTATTAAAATCACAACCTAATGAAAAGTATGTGAAAATAGCTTCATGGTCAGAAAGACCTGAAGGTACAACTTGAGTTTGAGTAGCTTCATCATCAAAATTCACACAAACATAATCGTTCTACAAAAGTGTTATTAAAATGTTAGAGCGGCACTGGAATTATTGTGTGGCTCTTTATGGAGATTAAGTTGATAAACAAAGCCAATTTTGAACAAAAAAAAAACAAGTTTTTCTTCTCAGGACTTTCAGCCCGTGTTGAGTCACAACTATTTCATTGGAATGTAGAACTGGAAAAACTACTATGTACAACAATCTTCTTGAAGTGCGTTTCATCAACTAAATTGGTGTCATCGAAGATGAACTAAACTAAAACACGAGTCGAGAAGAGTAGCGCAGTTCTGGTGTGTGGGAGAAACTATTTCGGAATGATCATCAATGAAAACTTTAATGAAAGCTTCACAGTAATAAATGACACATAAAATATTTAAAACTGTGTATTTATACCAAAGAAAGTACAATGACAATAAATACAAACACTGATTTAGCTTGAAATATGTTATGTTAGGTTAGGTGCAAAATCATTGGATCTATTTGACCCTCCACGGCAACCCGCAGTGCATTTATTGTGGCTCACACCTATTCATACTCGACCAAATAAACCCAGCTTCTTTACAAAGCCAATTAGTTTTTATGGTGAGTGGTCTTTCAGTTCAGATGGTAAGAGTACGGCTCTGCCGAACTCTAAAAACCTGATTGGTCCCCAGGGGAGCAGGCACAAAGTATGTACTTTGATATCTTCCGACAGTACGAGTTCCTGCATATGATGATTCAAATGACAGTGATCTGTAAGAAGGCCCGTTAGACATCGTAGTTCATCCCTACTGTAGTCCAACAACTGTTTGGTATCAAGATTCGATAGATGAATAAACGCCTTGGAGTGAACCAATCCTGGAAGATTCTGCCAGAAGTCTATAAATCTTCTTGCCATCCAGGTGTTCAATCTTTCCCATGATTTACAACATACACTGTATAGGGATAGTCACAGATACAAAACAACTATAAAACTTACAACAAACTAATGACTGTATATTGCAAATAAGGAAATTATGTAAACGAAAAATTCGGTCGCAGTGTAAAAAAAAAACTTTGTCCAATAGAAATATTTTGAGTTCTTTTTAAGATTCTATTTTCCTAGTACAATTTCTTACTGACTCAGGTAATTTGTTGAATAACCTTGGCCCAATACAGTTTGGCGAAGAACTGGTAATATTCAATCTGGCAAAAGGTATACCAACGCAAGTGGTTCTTTTGTCTCGTATTGATGTTATGTGTATTACAATTCTTCAGGATTCCTTTCCTATTTATATTGACAAATAAACATATCTCAAAAATAAATAATCCAGTCGGAGGTAAAATGTTCAGTTTTTTTAAAAGATCTCTGCCAGAGTTTTGTGTTGATTTTCCTGCTAAGCACCTTACGACTAGAAAAAATAATTTCATTCAATGAAGAGGTTTCAGAGATACAAATTAGTGTCACCCTTAAATTATGGGGCGAATAATATGCTGCTACAAAAAAGTCTAACAAAATCACAAATACTGCACAAGAAAACATGTTGTCATTAATAAATGAGTTGAATGTCTTGATTAGGAGCTACAAAGGGCAATAAAATACAGACATTTAAATCAGATAGACTCCATCTGTTCTGATAACAAGTGTTTTTATTAGTTTCTTTTTCTTTTTTCAATGAGCAAATTTTAATTTATGAAATGATTTTTTTCTTCACACACAAACTAAAATCTAATTTCTGAATATTTTTTGCCCAATGATAATAAAGTATTGTTTTTATATTCAAAATAATTTGGATTTTTATCATTTGCGTGCACACCTTTGAACCAAATATTTCATTTCATCTCACAAAAAAATCTATTTAAAATCGGTTTTTCTGTTAACAAGCTGTCCCCTTTCTTCAAACAACTCTCGGAAGTCGAAACCTGTGCGAGCTAAGGAAGCCTCACTTTTTAAGGTGCGATTCCTAGCACAATAATACTTATTGATTTTATTAAAACAACGATGAAAATAAAATAAAAACAACAATAAAAATTAATTGGCGCTCCGGGGCGACTTCATTGATTCCAGTGGCGCATTTGCTTAGAGTTTCTTGCTTCCTTTAGAGGTTGAGTCTTGTTTGAAAATCATCAGTGTTATTATTAGATTGACTGGTGCCTCAGCTATACTTGTTTCCTTATAACAGTCAGTTTGGCGCATATTTGACAATACAGTCGATCATCACCTGTTAAAAATTCCATTTTCAGATTATTGATTAGTTTCTTCATTAAATTGTACTATATTTTACTAATATGAATTATTTCTCTTCTCTGGTTCAATCACTGTACTTGATTAAAAATTAAATTTGTATAAAAATATCTCGCACACAATATCGAACAATATTCGATCTGTAACTGGTAGATACATTGAAAATATTGAAACAAATCATAATCAATTCATAATATATGACAAGCATATTTTTCGTGACTGTTAATGCATTACATCAAGTTAAATTGATTTTTCGAAGACAAGAGGAAATGGAGCTGATGGATAGTTCAATATCGCTTGAAGATATCTGTCTATATTAGAGCTATTTTGAATCAAACATCTTTAAATTATCATCATTTGATTTCAATAATTTTTGATAATTTTCTCAGTTGAACCTGAACATTATTTTACCTGAAAATCAAGTTTCCTACGGGATCAGCCTTCCAAGCTTTTATTAGTGCAAAATCTCCTGTTATAGCTTCCTCCATTATGTAGGGGTTTCCATTAAAGAGCTGTGATTCCCTTTGGTTACTAGAAATTTCAACTTTTCCATTTTCATCATACTTTATCGGTGAACCTCCTTCATGAATAAGTGTAGCATAAGCAGTAGGAGTGAAGAAAGCAGGAATACCGGCACCTCCAGCACGTATTCGTTCCGCTAAAGTGCCCTAGAATGTTTAAAAATGTTCTACTCTGAAAAATATCAATTCACTTTTGGAGTTTGTATTTGTAAACATTTTTTTTATTTCATTTCGTTGGAAGTTCATTTGGAGAACTCACCCTAGATTATTTCACTAAGATACACTTCCATCGAAAACAGTTAAGTTTCCAAGCATTAAATGTAGTAATAAAAAATATCAATAATCAATAAGTTTTCATTAAGTATATTAAGTCCAAAATTAAAACAATGTCCGTAAACAAGAAAAAATGTGAAATATCACCATATCATGAATGATACTGAGAATCCACCTTTTTTAGATTGGAATGGAAACTGAGTATCAAGGATATAAGACACTTATGTTGGAATATCCTGACAAAGAGATAAAACATTTGTTAATTATTCAAAATATTAAATGATTCAAGAAGATATAGATTAGGATAATAAAACGTGTACATAGTAGATCATGAAAACAGTGACAATTTTATTTTTCCAAATATATTCATAAGTGCACGTAAGTCTTATGAAAAATAAAAAATCACCAGATTTACATTTTGCTGATAAGAAGTGAAAATGTATGTGTAATTGCTAGCTTCAAAATGAGGCCCTTTGATAATCTATTCTTTACTCCTCCACTGAAAATTTGTTCTCGATTTTTCACACCCTATCTATCCTTAGGACATTGACATTGTTTTTGTCAACAGCTTTGATCTCCTTATGAAGTAGGTTAAAACTGTTCATCTCATCATTTAAATACAACTGGAAGAAAGACAAATAAAGTAGTCACTATTGTTAGAATGTGACATTGTCATTATATTGTGACAATAGTGGTTGTATTGATTTAAAAGAATATATTATATGTAGGCATCTATTCTTGATCATCACATCACACTGTCACATTCTGTGGAAGTGCGGGACCCCACAACATAGGAAGGAATATACNGAATTTCAAATTTTTACTGTATTTACAATTCTTATATATGTTATTTGGATAACTATCAAAAGATGTTTTCTCAATAACTGATCAGCTATCTGACTTGCAACAAAGTGGATACCAGTAAGATAGGGAGTCCTGTGCAACTTTCCTTTACATGTATGTACACTTTCTATTATATTGGCTGCACCATACTGATGATAATCTAAACGCCCGAAACACGTGTCTATGGTTTGCCTTTTTTGCCTTGGATTTATATCGTTGCCTACTCAAGAATAACAATCCTCAGGGGTCATAACTTATGCAAGCTAAAAATTAACGAGGTCACTCCTTTCAACGTTCAACTTTTAGCACAGGTCATATGAGATACTAAGTAAAAATGGAAAATTCCCTAGTTGGAATCGAACAAGGTTCACAAAGCAGTTGAGTGAATGATAAGAATGAACCACTCACTGCAGCAACTGGCTACCGACCAAAATATTTGATCAGTTTAATATTACATCTTGTATATAGAAAATTTCTGCCAGGATACGTTGATATTGGCATTTGCTTGGATGCACAATGCCTCACGCTCGCATCTACAGCTGACCATAAGGTTTGTCTGGCCAGGTGTTAGAACAGTAAGAATTTTCTTTGGGGCATTGCGCTGACAAGCGTTCAGCTTTCATAATGAAGCTCTGGCCTTTACAGGCTCTTGCACAATTACAAATTAGCAACTATATATTATACCATGATATATATGTGGCGTCTACAAGATCTTGGTCTATTAGAACTGTCTTGAATGAACGTGAATGAGCTCACAAAACATTAGTATCATGGATTAATTTTACTTCGGAATTTGACACATTTTAGTCTTTCTCTACAGACAAAGTTACAGAATTACAATCATGTTACACATACTTGTGGTGTAAGTTCTACTTCCAATTCACCAGATAAAAACTGCTTTTCAAATTCAGCGTTTTCTCCTACATATGAGGCTATCATTCGCTTAATTTTCTTCTGTTTCAATAATAAACCCAATCCAAATTTATCAACACCTGCGTTGTTAGATACCACTGTGAGGTCTTTGGCTTCATGTTTCAGTAACGCTGCTATGAGGTTTTCTGGTATGCCACATAACCCAAATCCTACGGAAAAGATTATTATTGAAAATTGTTATAAAAAATGTAAATATGGCACCTCCAACTAATATTTTTGATCCACTAGTGATGTCTGCAACAGCTTCCTTCACATTATACACTTTGCTTTTTGGTTTAGTGGAAAAATGTATAGTAAAAACCTGAAACATTAGGTTATTTCTATTATTATAAACTATTAAGTGAAAATCACTAACCTTGCTGATATTTGGGAAATAATTTATTTTGGCACTGAGAAGAAGCTTATTTGTATTCGTACACACGGCCGTTTTTATCATTGTGAAAATTATTAAACAAAAGGTGTGTTGGAAGCAAAAATTATTAATGAATTCTAGGTTGGGACAAACTCATAACTCTATATTTTCAATAATGGATGTGGATATTAATTTAAATTCTGTGAACCATGACCTTTAGCCTATAGGTTATCTGTTTGCTTTCTCTCTACTGTATATATAATTTACGAATGTTTGGATTTCGAGTTAGTTTTCTGTGTTTTTCGTGTTATTTTTATTTACATTTTTTCGGTTTTAGTTGTAAATGGTTTAGTTTAGTACTTTGAAGATTGTTCGGAAAAAAATAGTAAACATTAAACATAATCTAGAGTCTCAACTCTCAACATGTGAATAGAAGACTCTTATTAGAAACGACCTTCATTCATTTGTGTAATCTTTAAGGTGGTTTTTCTACCACCTACTAGATTTTTATTTATGTATGGCTTTATAATAAAGCGCGTGGTTTACTGGGTTGAAATAAATTTATTTCTTAAGAACTAATTCATAACAATGATAAATGGTAATTTCATAAGTAATGAACTTTGCTTCATGAAATCAGATGAAGAAATTTGTGAATTATTCTTAGATTTGATAAACAAGCGGTACGGTTTGTAAGGTCCGATATAAAGAATTTTCGATTAGAAATCATGATTTCATTCAAAATTGGTATCTATAGGGGTCTTTGTGAATCGACATTATGAAAGGGGATATTTTGATGTTTTTTAATGATAATTTTTTGATCTTATTCTTATAAATGAAGTTTTTGAAACTAGGTTTATATTGTTTCATTATTTGACATATCCCAAAAAAAAAGGTAAAAAAAATGACAACCGTCACTTCTTATTGAATATTTTTTGTATGCAACGCGAGAGCCTCGTGCAAAGAAAGAAAAACCAAAACGGAAATCATATTCTTTGTGTGACGTAAGTTAGCTGTTCAGTGAGCAATAACAGATTAAACACCGGTCGCACAAGAATAATCATTTAGTATACAAACTGAACATTGAGCAGAAAGCTTTTCAATCTGTTGATCACGGAATGAATATGACCTATGGCACACATATATGAAAAACATATTTTTGATTTTTGAATAGTGGCCTCATTTCTATAATCATTAATAATAAATCAGATTTCCTGTAGGAACTATTTGAACAGAATACATTTTCACCTGAAATGATTTATTTTATAAATATATAATATCCCACCAAATATCAACTAAACCAGCCACCACTGTTTTATGGTACAACTTACTTCAAATGTAAACAAACTCTCCATAACCCCTCATTACTCGCCACCCACCTCGCACATAAGTTGTTCAGAAAAGGATAGTACGATACTCGTTTCAGAATACATGTATAGTATTGGTATAGGCATGGCAACTCTGTCTTATTATTACTCTGAGGATCAAATTGTTAGTTCTGTGCGGGTATTAGACGTTTTGTTTAAAGTTTCTTTGACATATCTATGAGTGACACATGACACATGTGACAGTTGATGAGATGAGATCAAAAAGTACATTACCAAGAGGCGAATGCTTTGTCGGAATCTTTGATGTAGGTTGTACAAAATAAGAAATGCGACACAGCATTGACAGAGACACTAATTGATGCTCTGAGAAAAATAGCACAGGTAGTGATTCAAATTTAAACACTACGCACTACACTAAGAAAAATAACATTATTGATTGATATCCGTTTTCTTTATGATACTTAATATATTTTTGATGGACTGTATACATAATTTTAGTTCAGCATTCTGCGATTTCTGAGATTACGTTGAAAACATTATTTTGGCATGCACATGTTACATATACAATTTTTATTTCAAGAATTGTGACTCAGATAATATCTGGTAGTATAATCAATTCTCGGTAAATGCCAGAAATCAATCAGGAATTGGCAACTCTGCGATACATTCTTAAGACAGGAAGATTCTTAAGACACGAAGATTGACATTAACCGAAATACTAAATTTATACCCCGAAAAATTCTCTTTATCCGCCTCTTGGTAGTTGGTGTACTCTTTGGTCATAATTCAGAAATGAAGTGTCAGATGAGAAGCGTGTGTTGCTCTGGTGGTTTGAGATTTGCATTCAGAAACGTTTCAAATGAGCTATTACCAGAGATTTTTGTAAGAAAATAGCTCCTGGGGATTGAAGTTCACTTAATTTAATTTAATTCTATGACTTTTTCTTGAATGTTCAGATTTCGAAATGTTCGAAGTGGGAAGTTTTTAAATGGACACCTTGCTTAACTTACATGTTGTTGTTATGTAACCAATTTCAATTCAGAAGTTTCGTCATTGACAAAAACGTATTGTTGTATATTACTTCGATATGATAGATACAATGAAGTTCAGAGCAATTACTTTCACACCGTATATCTTAGGTTCATCTACTAGAACTTTATGTCACACAGGTCACACAGAATTATTCTAGCAAGGTTTCAACTATTCCCCGATAATTTTTGAAGCAGCCTGTCTTGTAAAGTGATTTGCTCGGAAGCCGTTGATTGATTACAATTTTTCCACTGTCCATTTTGAAGGTTGGTATAACATTGGTTTCAGTAAATCATGAAAGGTTCCTTCTTAAAGGTAAGCATTAAATAAGTCCGTAAGAGAACATACTATGAACGACCATGACTCTTTGAATAGTTGCTATTTCCCCATCAACATTAAATTCTACCTTCAACAACGTGTGTCGGTCAACTAGGGAGATTTTTAGATGCATCACGCCAATTTGGATTGTATATTAACATGAACCAATGAAAATATAATTCCGATCGAAATCTCACGAAAATGCAATCCGCCATTTTTACCATCCTCTCAGCTAGAGGAAATGATGATTTAGGTGAATCGAGTTGTTGAATATGAAAACGAATGCGTTTGGCTCACATGAAAAAAAATGTGAAAAAATTAAAACGAATTGTTGGACATGCCACTGAGTCCTTTCCTTCAAATCGGGTGAACTTCCTCATCGAGAGCAAAATCGAATGTCTCTCTGTTATGCCAGCCAGTAAAATTGAGAGATACATCCGATTTTTCTTCGATGCTAGGGTTCCTCTGATTCGAAAATAGGGCTCCTGGTCCATCACACCGAACTGGTGTGAATAAAAATGTCCCCTTCTTATAGTTTGTTGATAGAGTTGACTTGGTTGACAATTCACATTTACATAAATTCTGAGGGTTGATAGTCATATTCATCGTATATGCGAATATGCAGCACAAAATTCACCTGAAGGATTTTTCATTAAGCGCTTCCTATTTTTAAATTTGAATAAAACACAGTGTGCGTGAGATATCATCGAAATTTTTCATTAGATTGAAACACCTATCGATGCCATTATGTGTGGAATGTAACATCGTTCAAATGTCCGCCACGGTTTCTCTGTGTGAAGCGCGTCAGACTAAATTTGACCGATGGCATGGGTTATGTTGGCTTTGAGAACCACTGTGGTTTGTGGCATATTCACATACACCTGCGACTCAAGAAAACCCCCACAAGGAATAGTCTAACGAGGTCAAATCGTCGTTCTCGGTGGCCAGTTCACATCACCTCCACGTGAGATGATCATGCCGTCAAATCGCTCGTGCAGAATATCCAATGTGGCATCACCAGTGTGGAACGTAGCGCCGTCCTGTTGAAACCACATGTCGTTGGTGTCTAGATCATCCAAAAGTTGGTAATCATCGACCTATAGTACTCGCCGTCGACAGTGATGACCTGGCTAACGTCGTTCTCAACGAAATATGGACTGATGACACCGGCCGACCAAAAACCACACCAAACAGTGAATTATTTTTCGATGAAAATTAGTGTCAGTTACTAACTGCTTCAGGGCTCATTTAGCGAAACGGAGTGTGTTCGCAGTTAGTAACTGCTCTAGGGCCCATTTAGCAAACACACTCCGTTGTCTATGTTCAGTAACCTTCAATTCCTGGGTCATTTGAATTTTGGCAAAAGAGACTGAATAAATGACAACTATATAATTTGATAGATGTAGCTTCAACAAGATCGCCATTAGCAATTGTCAAAGTTCGGAAGTCCCTGTTGAAAGACACGTTAGTTAATCTTTTGACACAGCACGATTTGTATATTCGTAATATTCTGTCACATAAGACTGAAGTAGATACAAAGAGGTCTCTAAACATGAAGAAGTAATAAATATGTTTCAGTGGTATATCTTATCGCATAATTATTTTGTTGAACATTTTAAAGGTGTTCTACTACGCTATTGATATATTAATGAATTGCGCCAAGGTATCGCAACCCAACTCACTGTGGGGGAGAACGTTCTTCTTCTTTCTTATTCAATTTAATGTTCTCAGCTTCCATAAGTCGGCGCTACATGACCATTTCTTCTTCTTTCTTCATCAATTCAGTGTTCCCACATGACCATTTCTTCTTCTTTCTTCTTCAATTCATTGTTCCCAGCTTCCATAAGTCGGCGCTATATGACCAGCTCTCTATCCGTTGTATAATAAACACCGAGGACAATTTATCCTGGGAGTACAGAAGTCTTGCTTCTCACAGTTCTGCACTCATTATTAATACGGCTTGATTTCATAAATTGCTTGCACGTCTTCCGAAATACACAATCGGTTAAAAATATCATTACACAAATATGTATTGTTTGTTTGCACATGCTATGGCGGGGTGAGTCCGTTCCCTCGGTGATGAGGGCAGCCGATACACGTCCACCCACCTCGACGAGGAAACATAAACTCGCTGGAGAATGTGTTTCTACTGACAAAAACACGAGATATAACACGACAAAAACACGATATATAATGAATTTGCTTCTTTAGAGCCACATAACTTACATCGTATCATCGGCGTTGAAGTTATCAGGATTTTGTTCAAGGAATTTGGAACATTTTCCAAATGTTATTACTCTGATAATGTTAAGTTATTTTTATTGAAATTCTGAATTTCATTCAGCGTTTAGGAATCTATTCAGCGTAAGTACCTGAAATTCTTGTTTTTGGAAAAAACCGATGCCTGAGTTTTTGTGGCTTTGAACTGAACCTGGTTAGTTTCACCCCAATTTGAAATCACTTCTTTATCCTCATTAAAATCAACCTTCTGCCGCCAGTGGAGATGTGCATCCGCAACCGATGTCCTGGAATCCAAATGAAGTGACGATACAAGTGTGTTGTCATCAGCAAAGCAATATATTGGATTCTTGGTTTTTCTCAATAAGTCGTTGATATACAATAAAAAGGTTTGAAACAATATGGATCCCTGGGGAACATCAGCGTTGATGGTGAAAGTCTT